TATTACTTGACACTTTTGTAAATGATTATGCTGCTCTATACGGTCAAAAGTTTATTAATTACAATGTTCATAGCTTAATACATCTACCATTTTTTGTTCTTAAACATGGCCCACTGGAATCTTTTAGTKGTTTTAAGTATGAAAACTACTTGCAAGAAATAAAAAAATTTATGAAATGTTCAAGGTTTCCTCTACAAGAAGTTTCTAATAGAATTTATGAAAAGTAAGACCAAATTAAAAATACTCCAGAATCTAAATATCCTAAATTTTCTAAAGAATTACATAAAACCCACCATTTATTGAGTGACAGAGTTTATGAAAAAGTGGTTTTGGAAAAWTTTTCAACCATAAATATAAATACCATAAATAATAACTTCATCATGTTGAAAAATAATGATTTGGTGTTTGTTGAACAAATTTTAATGACTTCAAACAATGAAATCAAATTTCTTGTCAAAAAATGTAACAGCTTTTCATCTTTTTTTAGTCTACTTAATTTTTCATCCAAAGATATTAGCTCATATATCATAAATCTTCAATTTTTAAGTACACCTCATCTTATCCAAATAAATGATTTTAAATGTAAGTGTTTTTATGTTCAAATATCAGGGAATAAAGCAGTAGTTATCACTCTTTGTCATAATTTAGATATACCACAATAATTAAAACAAAATTTTTAATGTGATTTAAAATATTTGATAAACTCCTCATGATAAATKAATTATATTTATTGAAATTATTAATTATTGTTTTKTGTTTATTAGAATTAAGKAATGTAAATATTTAATGAATATAATGTAGGTACATATCTTATCAATTTGGATTAAATATATTTTATATATTATGTATTGCAATACCTATGTACAAATATGTTATTAATTTGTATTATTTTAAGTGTAAATGTTTTATAAAATATTAAGTTTGCTATRATATTATAAAAATTGTTTTAAGTTAATTAACATTTTAGTTAAATTACCTTTGTGCCACATTGATGTTAATTAATTCATATTTTTTTATGTATAACATAAAATTATAGAATTGTATTATTTAATAAAAAAAAAATTGTTTTGAAGTCAAATAAAATACTTGGTTATATTAATTTGTTTTTTAATTTTAAATAAAATGTGTATTCCTTTTCATATTTGATAAAAGTATAAAAAAATTATTATGATACCTTAAAAGAATAAGCTTATATATTATACAGATTGTGTTCAAATAATTTTGGTAGGTGTATTCGTGTATTATTCTGGTTTTATGAAAAACTTCAGGCTATACATTTTTTCCTAACAAGACCCAATTGACCAAGCTTAGCACTCCAATTAATTTATAAGTAAATAGTAAATACTAAATGGTTTTCAAAAATAAAAATAACAAGATATAAACATATAATATAAACATTTTTTAGATTGAGTAGAGCTATATCTTATAATACATCATACATTGATTTTACAATCATTATGTATAATTTTTTATTTTTGTGTGTATCATTACCCGAGTAGCAAATTCAGTTCACATTACGTGCTCTGCCATCAATAAATGCTTGTTAAAAGCACGGTGCAAATTCTCTTCACTGCACAGTGCAGAAGGTTGATTTGAATACCGAACTTTTATACAGAGAACACCGTGCATCATCCGTGCGTGTAAGCGTTAGTACACGGTGCTACTGCGAACATTTTAACTGTGCGTTAATGGTGCAGTAGTTGGTTCAAAAACGGAACCAAGGTGATTTTTCAGAGCGTGCTTCATTGGTGAAGAAGTAAATTTATTAATTGTGCAACGGTGTAAAATATCACGGTGCTGTAATTGCTCAACGGTTTAGAACAATCCCGTGGTTAGGTTAATTTTTATTTTTTGTAGATATATGTAAATATATATAAAATATACTTTAAAATATAATATTTTACTACAACATTATTAAAACTAATTTATTGGTAAACATAAACAAATATATCAATAAAATGCTTAATTAGCATAAATAGGTATAAAATAATATTAAAAAAAAAAAATAGCAAAAAGAACTTTACAGTTAACAAATAATTTAATTTCATCATTTTGCATGTCTTAAGTAATTGTCTACAACTTTATGAAATGTTGTTTCATCCGACGCCGTTTTTATTAAACCAGATAAAGCCTCTAGAAAAATAAATAAAAATAATAATAATTAATATAGGTAATTCTTAAAACAATTTACTATTTTTTTCAGTAAAAGTTTAAATATCATATATATATTTATATATATAACATTTTATTAACAGTTAATGAGTTAAATTAATATTAAAAATCTAAACACAATATTTTTAAAATCAATTTGAAAACAAAACCCTATTTATTATTCATTTATGGTTTTAATTCAAGCATCAATAATACTAATAAGTAATAATACTACCTATATAATATTATTATATATAATAATATATAACACTTTTGCATGGATTTTTTTTTTTATAACTTCATTCAACATAAATATTAAGAATTAAACATTTTTATTTACCACGTATTACATTGTATAATTCCAGATTTCCAGCACATCAAAATTTTTTTATTTTTCCCCGATAGCTATAATKGCATAGTACCTCATTGTAGAAACATGCATCTATTGAACCTCTTATTGCTGCACTTAGATGTAGGTTACCATACTTAATATACAGGAATGTTTTCTGAAATTTTAAAACCTGGTGTTAAATATATTTTTTTTTTAATATAATAGTTGATAATACCAAAAATAATATAACAATTATTTTAGATTAAATCATTTTAACCTATATTTTAGCATACTATAACCCACATATATCATTATTAATTAACAATGCTCATTCATATTTTAATTAACTAATACCTCGACTAATACATTTTAAATAAATAATACTAAAGTTATCATTTACCAGTTCTTCTTTATACTGTAAAGCATTATTTTCTGCAGTTGGTGTTAATAATTCCTCTACTACAGCTATATCTTCAATACTTTTGACTGGCAGTAAGTCAAAGATAGGTGATGGAATCGTTGGCGTTGGTGTTGCTAAGGCACGAATTCTATTGTCAGCAGTCATTATTTTCTGCACCTTGTCATCCAAGCGCTGAAGAGCAGCAGTGATTCTAGTATTAGATCCATTCAAGTTCATTAATTGTGTCATAATTTGAGTATCTCTATTAGATCTTTTTCCAATCATAGAAATCAAAACATCTAGTTTTTCACAACAGCATACTGAAATATAATTATCATAAACAAATTTCTAAATTTATATTTGAGTAATTTAGCAAAAAATTATACTGTTAAGGAGTTAATTTCATGTATAAACCAAAACCATTATAACTCACAGTAGTACTCAAGTAGTCAAGGATAAGTTTTTGAATGACAGGGAGAAACATTTTACAAATAATGATTTTGTCTTTTTTTCAATATGTAATATAATTAATATTAAACTATTAATGCTAAAATATTATTTTACCTATAAATATTTTATTATTATTATTAATAATAATACAAATTTATATACTTTTTAAAAAGACAAAATAAATAAATTTTTTTTATCATAGATTAATAAAAATTATTTTGTTAATTATCATATTAAAATGCTAKAAATATAATGTATACCGTTTGAAGAAGATTTCTTGTCAATATCATTTTGAAATGGAAGTACAGAAATATTTTCATCTTCACCAACTATAAAACTTTCTTGCAGAGAATCATCTGAAGTTACAGCTGACGATGTTAAAAAATCAAACAAATTGTTATTTGTCCTTTGTTCTAAGGCACCAATGATTAAATCTTCATTATGATCAGGCAACTCTCCTTAATGAAATAAAAAATGCAATTTACTTCAAATTTTTAAACGAGCCAGTAGAAATAATGGTTCTTTATTCAGGGAAATTGATTTAATAAAATTTAAAAATACTTTGCTGGGTCGCATATACTAACACTAAACATTTATTGAATTAAAAGTGAGCAAATGGTCCCTTAAACATGATTTAGTGGCCTATGATTAGATCATAAAATTTTATTGAACCATTATATAAATCAATTTTTTATGCAACCTGGTATACATTTATTATTTTAGCTATGTAATACCTTTTTTTAGTGTTTTTTTTTTTAAAAAAAGAATTATTATTCAAGTTTTGTGTTATAATTAAATATGTTTTAGTTAAATTTTAAACTTAGGAATTCGAAATAAAAATGTAAAATTGTATTTAAAATTATTTAAAACAATATTTTTGTTTTGACTAAATAGAGAAAAATTATAATTTACCTGATATAATATTATTTATTTTAAATGATGTAATAGTAGACAATACACTTGAGGTTGATGGTATGTTTTCTTGTAGAGTTTCATTATTTTTCACATCAGATTTGGAATATGGTATGCCATCATATGGATCATCATCTACATCATTATACTGGATGCCCAATGCTGGTGGTTCTGGTAGTTGATCGATTGGAGTCAAATTTGTATACACTTTATCTTCTGGTGTCATTTTTTTTATTTTTTTTTGGCCTCCATAAATTCAGGCTCATAAATTTTTTTGGCAATTATTTTCCTCCTGGAACAACCAGCCAACTGTCCACTTCCTATGTCATCACTGTCTTCCGAACCTGACCAAGCTTTTGCAACTCTCCTGGCTTGTATTTCATTGGCTAAAACAAAAAAATTAAATTAATATATAAATAAATAAAAATAATAATAAAATTACAAATAGCAAAAATGGAGAGTAACTCACTAAAAGGACCTGCAACTTTTCGTACGTCRTAAAATACACCATCTCTATCATTTGGGACATAACTTTCAATAATCATTTTCGTTATTTGTGTAGKATTAAAGTGTATTTTTGTATGATCATACTTGGTTAATGGAAACCAACATTTTCCAGTACTACTGTCTCCAAGCAAAGATAACCATTCTAATGGCACTTGTTGAATCTCCTGAGTGTCCAAGAATAAAACAACAAACCAAGACCTAGAACCAATATATAACTATGAATATAGTTATTATGATTAACTTGTTTCTTATTACATTCATATTTATGTATTTAAAATACATTAATACATTATAATACACATGCATAATTTAATTTTTTTAAATAATATAATAACTCATGTTTTGTTATTTAGAGTATAATATATAGTTTACTTACCATTGTTATTACTGAAATTCTAAATTGGAATACTATTTAGAAGAAATAAAGAATAATATTTACAGAGTAGAAAATGATTTAAGATATTAAATAATAATATAATAATAATAATTAATAATATACCTAATAAGTAATAATAATAATAATAATAATATTAACAATAACTCAGTTGTATAGTTATGTTTTAAAATTGAATATTACTGAAAAATGCAATAAAGGAATAACTATAGTATTTGTATTGTTTAGAGGCAAATTCATCATATTTTTTTTTAATGCATCAAACTTCCATGACTGAAGTGGCCCAAGTCTAGAGGCTGAATGTATACTTAATAATTTYGAAGAACATGGAGTATTAAAAAATTCTGTGAGTTTTTCATATTGTCTGCCAATGACTACTAAAGAATTATCAGATTTTGAAGTCGCAATATTTTCAATCAGAATTATGTYACCATTTTCTACCATGAAACAATTATCAGCATTGTTCAATTTTAYTGTAAATTTATCATTTTTCCAACCGGTGTATACTGGTTTACAAGTTTCTTGAAGTAAAGGTCTATGTTTATATTTTGTATGAACATTTATAGAACCACTTTTTGAATTTAAACTATTCTTAGACAGTAATAAAGTTCTAGATTCAGCATACCTACGGGCAAATTGTTGAAGTGGTGTAAAACCACTTTTAACTTTTTTTTTTTGAGAGGCTGCATAAAACTTTCAAAAGGGAATGCAGAAAAATTATTTAATGATCCAAATGTTTGCACATCATCAGCTAAATGAAGCATTATATGAATATTATGARACATAAAGGTATTGCCATAAATGTCAGCAAATTGTGACACGAAATAATTTAGTAATTTTTTTGCAAATAAAATATATTCTTCAGATATATTATCTGTTGACATAATTCTTATAGCAACRCACAAAACTATAAAATGGTTGTAAACTTTTTTCTCTAAAATATTATGAAAAACTACCATACYGGTGTATAAAAGGCATTGTCWAAGTTCTGTTGCTTTCCAACGAGTAACATCCCGCAATGGATGTTTTCGGCTATTTCCATTGGGATTTCGTTGGAAATCTTGAAGGACATATTGTCCTAACTCATTCAATTTAGTATCAATAGCAGATATTAAAACTTTTGGAAGATTTTGACTGTGTGGTTTAATTCCACCAGTCCAAAACATTAAAATTTTTTAGTTACCCCAATTAATATAATCAAATGGTATCCCAGAAACTAAATCGAAATTGGGAACATCTGAAAGAATTGTTTTATCTAAATGGAAGCTTAAATCTGAATAAGATATAAGTGATTCATGAGTTTGTAAAGTTGAACATAAATCAGGAAAATATACTCGATTATTTCCATACTGACCAACAGTATAGCAACGATTACAAGAATTTTTGGCTGATGTCCCTTTACATTTAGAGCAAAAAACTTTGCTTGTGTGTCACATATTAGAGCTTTCAATTGAACTTTAATATTAATGTTATTATAAACAATGCCAGTTTTATAAAAAAAAATTAATTCATTAATTAAATCTGACAAAAATTCATTACTATTTTGWGGCTTAAGTTGCCCATAATATGCTCCAATTATAAACACATCTCGACTTTTGCCTAAATTAGTAAAATAACTCAGACAAGGCCACAGCTGACTAGGAGGGTTTTTAGATAAAGGGAGACCATCAATTCCTACCACCAACATTAAAGTAGAYGGAAGTGCTAAATTATYRTAAACTTTAAATAATTGTTCTATTTCAGCTTTTAGTCCAAAATGATATATACCTCCACTAATCTCTTTCACTAAAGTTGTGGTAGGTGTTTGGAGTAATGTACGTGAATCTTTAGGCAAACCTTTAAACTGAGGAAATTTAGATATACTTTTCAGAAAGTCATCTAAAGCCAAATGAGTTATATTATGGTTACATGGTACATCATTGCCACTATACCTTTAATGCTGTAAAAATACTTTGATTTTAACTTTTTTGGTATTGATATTGGATTCATTGAATTGAATCTGGGTAGTAAATTGGACGAAAAATAATAAAAAATTAATAGAACTTAACAGATTTTCCGTAAAAAATAAAAATAAAGAATAACTGTTTTTTTTACGAAAAACTAGTTCCTATAGTTAGTTATTTTCGACAAAACATATTTAGTTTATTGCCTAACTCAAAAACCGAAAGATTCCGTTAGCCCCAAAATTATCTTTATTAACAGTCGTTCATACTGCAACTAAAAAATCTGAAAATCATATTATACCTACATCAAAACTTTGATTTCTTTGTTTTTGGAAAAAAAAAATTGAGCATAAATCCAAAATATTTTGGTATGAACGTCTGAAATTAGTATTTTTACATAATTTGTAAAAATAGTAAACATTTTCAAATTATTTGAGGTATAAATACATACAAATTATCTGCTTATATTTAAGATTTGAAAATTTAACATGAAATTCCCTATACGTTTTTTAGCTGTAAAAAAAAATTACCGGAAATTCAAATTAATTTTTATAAGTGTTCGAAATTCGACATTTAATATTCATCCGTAAATTAATGAATCCTCATCGAACAATTTTCTGATTGTAGTGTAACTCAATAAAAAATAACCGTTAATACTTGAAATTATCACTAAATTTAATACATTTTATAATGTAATTTTCAAAATAAGTTTACTATTTTTGATTTTTAATTGTTTTTTCTGAATATCAAAATAGTTTATTCGTTAAGTCAAAAGGTTAAAAATATAATATGTAGGACCGTATGGCACTTCATACATAGCTACAATTCAAAATATTAAAATCACATAAGTTTTTTTAAGCATTTAAAAATTTAATTTATGAAATTGGAAATTTGAAAACTCATTTTTGTTTAAAAGTTTATAAAATGTTAACTTTTTACAATAAAGGATTGAAAATTTAAAACAAGGTTCCACATCCGTAGTATTTCATACTAACCAATAAATTTAAAAATTATATAATTATTAGGTTTTTTAATTTCTGACCTACATAATATGTATATGTATAATATTGTTTTAATTTGCTTAGATACAAAATTCTTAGGTTTTGACAAAATTCATTAAAATCTCAGAAATGTTCAAATCATTTTTCAATTAAACATTTATAAAAATGTTTATCATCATAGCTAACATTAAAAATTTTAATGAAAAATGTCCAAMAAATAATTCAACATTAAACAAAATAATTTTTCTAGAAAATAATATTAATTTTATATGAGTTTGAATTTAAGAATGTTCAGAATGTTGTAGAAATTGGATTTTCACTGGTTAATGAATCAATTTCCAACTAATAATTTTTAGTAATTTGTTTTAATTCAAGAATAAATATCTGTAGGCACTATATTTTTTCATTAAATGTTAAAATGACCTTTAACTATTCATGGTAATATTTTCAAATTATTTTTACTCTATTTGAGCTATCTATTTATAGTCATAAATATTTTCTTAAATTACTTTTACAGTTAGAAATGTATAAACAATTTTCTTTTTGTAGCTAACATTAAAAGTTTAAATAGAAGATTCTCAAGAAGTTTCTCATATTTTATTTTTAAAAAAGTTTACAGGAAAGTTACGCTATTTATAAGCCATGAGATATTTTTAATTGTATTACTTTAAAAAAAAAATTAATTTGATTATTTATATAAGTATCTATGCTAAGGACCTAACCTTAAGCTGACTGTAAGAAGCAAAGCCTCTGCTCAGAATTGTTTTTCATATAATATGAATTCAAATATAACAACGACATGTTCAACAATTACTGTACAACAATGCGGTACCCCACTTTTCCACCTTTTTAACTTGAATAGTCAAATAAATTTTTTAACCTAACCTATGCTTATCTATTCAAATACATTTTTTTCATGAAATCACCAAATGCTGAAAAATTAATTACTATTTTAGAAAAATGTACTAATAGTATCATTAAATTGTTAACTATAGATAAGAAAAAAATTGTATGAAAGATAATTATTTGCAAAATGCTCGGAACATCAAACAAAAAAAAATATTAAAACAATTTAATATAGAAATCATTTAAAAAATATTATTTTGGTAGGTACAGAGAATAGTATTGTCAGTTACAAAACCATTTGTATACTAGGACTAACATTTTTGCTAGTAAAGAAAAAAAATAATTAAAATTAAATTATAAACATTAAAATATTAATATTATTTACTTTTAAATGTTACTTATACTGCATTATGGTGTCAAAATAATAAAAAATACAATAGAAAATATGATTAGTTTAATAACTATTTTATTGGTGTTTATTATCAGTTATTAAAAATATATCTCATAACAATTCGGTATAGGTGTTTTGATTGAATTTGATTAAAGAGGTCACACATTTATTTTAGTAAAAAATACTTTATTCATTAGAAATAAAAATGGAAACATTTACAGTAAATTTTCTTATGGATAATGTACTGCAGCTTATTGTGAAACAATAAATCATGTCCAAACAAATTATATTACAATACTTATAAATATTAACTTGTTCTAAAATTACAGTAATCTATTTCTTATGTTTAGCTAATTATTTTTAAATTGTAATATTACCATGTTTATTATTATTATTTTTTTTTTATTAAATATACTTAATTATTTACTAGAGCTCTCTTTAAATTATTCTTGACAATACAGTCTTAGACAAAAATGATAATGAATGATAAAAAATGATAAAAAATAATATTAATTTTTTATAATATTGTATGCCTTAAGCATTCACTAAAACTAGAAATTAATAATAACAATATTATTAGGAAACTAAAATGAGTCAAATATACTAGTCATTTTTAATAATGTCTAAATAATACATTTAAAGAACATCTGATATTCTTATATTAACAATATTTTGGTGCTGAGCTAGACTACTAATTAAAACTAAAAATATATATAAAACACATTATTTTCTATAGTTAAAATAAGAATTATATTTACTTAAAATTATTTGAATACACATCATAAGATAAGAATAGAAAAAAAATGAATGTATTTTATACAAATATAAAAAAAAACTTAAAATAGAACAAATAGTTTAACCCTAATATAATAATAGTATATGGAGTTTAAATTATGCCACGTTTTTCCACTGATGATAATTTTCTTACAATAAACAATTCATCAGATTTGATTTAACTTAAGTTAGAATAATTCAAGATGTTCTTTAATACATAGCTTATGTAGTTATTCTTTTTTAAAATTTTGAGCTTGATCGAGACGGATTGTGAATCCTTGAATGATTTGATAAGGATATTGATGATAGAAACACTTTTCCACAAATCTGACAATTATAAGTACCGTTCTGCTTTTTGGTAGTATTTTTGTTGACATTCTTCTTTTTACATGCGATCAAATGGGATTGAAAGTTAAAAATATTAATATCCATTTGACAAAATGCACACATAATACTTTTTCTATTTTTTTTAGCGGCCATTAAAACACCATCATGGAARGTAAATTTATGGATGCTAAAACTTTCAATATCATCAAATTTTTCAGGACATATAGAACATTTGAACATTCCAGGGGTACGACAGTTATATTTTACTTGATGAGCTCTAAGATGAGATGCATTATTAAATGGCTTGCAACATTGCCAACATATTAAAGTTTCTCCGAGGTTAAAATGATCACGATGATGCGCTTTAAAAATTCTAAAGGTTTGGAAGATGAGATTGCAACTAGGTTTCAAACAAGTAAAAAGTATATGGTCTGATGTACGAGGAATCTTTCCCTTGTTTCCATTATTAAGTGCACTTGCGTTATTTATATAATTATTTTGAACTGGCAATAATGCTGTTTCATTTACTGTAGGTTTCTTAGGTTTCATTTTGGCTGCATTTACATTGTTTTCTTGATTGTTAAGACAATGCTTCATATGTTCATTAATGACTGTTAGTTCTGGAGATGATTCTTCGCAATGTAAACATAAATAATCACCATGAATATCCATCAAAAGACCATTGTGTGTTTTTAATTTATGAAAGGCAAATTCTTGCATACCATTAAATCTCACATTGCATGTATAACATTTAAATGCATTTGCAGTATTACAGCGTATATGACAACCATTTCTATCAATGTCAGATTGTTCGATTTCTTGAAAACAACGATCACACAAAACAGCTGATGAAGACATACCAATATGCAGTAGATAATGTGATGTAAAATGGTTTTTTGATCTTGATAAAACGTTACAATTAGGTACCAAGCAAGTAAAAAAAGATTTAGTATGTTGAGAACAATCATGGTTGAGAATATTCTTCTTTTGACAGATAGAACAGTAGTATAATTTTTCAGTCTCATCATTAAAATTTTCATTTTTAAAAGTCAATTGATTTTCTTCGTTGTCTGAAGATAACACAATAGTTTCTTCGTCATAATTGGATGAATCTACATCATTGACATCATCATCTGATACTAAATCAACTGTTGGAATTTGAGTTGGTACTTCTATGCAGGAATCATCATCGGAATCATCAACAAATCTTGAACTTGATATAAATTGAGATTGTCTGAATGAAGACGATTCTCCATTATTTATTATAACCTGTGATGAAGTAGACGCAATACACATTCTGGATGTAGAAGGGCCATATATATTTGAACTTTGGGATAACTGTGAATGCTGGAACGAAGATTCCTGAGACGATTCACCATTACTTCTAATCATAAGTGTTGGAGTAGTTCCAATAGATGTTCCATGCTGGAACGAAGATTCCTGAGACGATTCACCATTACTTCTAATCATAAGTGTTGGAGTAGTTCCAATAGATGTTCCAGGCTTGTTAACACCATACTAAAAACAAAAATGTATAAATTATTCAATTTTTATAGCTTAACTACATAATTTTAAACAAGGCTCATACATATTTCTTACTGAAACTTAAACCTACTGAAAAATAAAAGTAGATACAATTTATTTTTAACATTGAAGTTCATGATTTTGGAGAAATTTCATACTTAAACAATGAATAGGTAACAATTTTAGGAACTTGAAATATGTATATGTATTTTACTGTGCTCGATGACATTTTCAATATATTTAGATTAAATTTAAAGCATAGCCTATTTATAACATATAACTGCATTATTTATAGTAAAATAAATTACTATAATAGCAATATGAATGTATAGTAAAATATACTTAGTAATTAGTAATATAGGTTAATCAAAAGTCTTCTCTCAGAATTGTTTTCAAACACAATGATTCATCATTGAACTCAAAGTAAACACATCTGTTACAGAGACCTACTCAATGTAAGATACACTTATACCTACTGTAGCACAACGCTTACCAATATGCCTTTTTTAATAAGTCTAAGTCTTTCCTAGTAGACAATTCTAAATACATAATACAGTTCATTTTAGTTTTTGTAACACACAGATTGAAATTTAAAATTAAATTAAAACCCAGATATAAAAATCGATTAAGACTTTTTGGTTATTGTTAAGAATTTATATTTGAAGACACTTTGCACAACATTTAATGATTTTTTGTTGATTATTTAATTATTTTTGTAGATATATTATATTAGATTCTTGAACATTTTTTTTTTGAAGTGACGGTAAAAAAATTATGGATGACCAAAAAAACTTGAAGATTTAATACAATGTTCCTTATGAGTGGTTTTTATTGTAGCTAAAAAAAATTGAAAATCGTTTGTCACAAATTTTTTTTATAAGCGTTTATAGTTCAACATTTTACGAAATCATTCGAAAAAGCGAAAATTTGCAAGTAATTTTGAAGTTGAAAAATCATAAAATTGTTTGTGTTTATAACTAAGGATTAAAAATACAACACTAAGTTTAACATAAGTTTTCCTTCAAGTAGCTATAGAAAAAACTCGAAGCATCATTATAGGAAAAATTTTAAGTGCGTTTGAATTTTAAATTTTTACGAAATAGCGTAACGATAACAATTTATCCTCAAACGATTTTAAATATTTGTT